GAGCTGTGTCGAGCAGCCTGGGCACCGAACCATGAAGTAGTCCTCAAAAATGCTATTTGAAACTTTTTTTTGGTGTGTGTGCGTGTTTGTCGGCGGCGATCTATTCTAACCGCCCTCCAAGCCACTTACTTGTAGGTACTGCGGTAGGCTCCCGCGTGAGGTAACGCTGCATGTGTGCCGGTAGCGGCAAGAAACAAACCTCCGCGAGAAAAAAAAAAGCTGCTGTCAGATACGGCAAGGGTACACTACGCGGTACCAGTTGAAGCGTTGCAATCGTCCTTGCCTCTGTTAACTTGTTACATTCTTCCTCTCCGTTTGTATCCTCTCTCCCTCCATCTCTTGTCGTAGGTTTATAAATCAGTCGGGTTTAGGTAAATACGTCGTATTTTCCCTCCCCCTACTACTCTCCATCTATCTGTCTATCTGCCTGCGGACATCCCTCTCTCCTCACCTCTCCCTCTCTGTCCTCCGCTCCATCACCTGTGTCTTCGTGCTTGCCCGCTGTTTTCTACGCAGAGAATCATAGCCTCTTTGATCCGAAATCGGACAACTGCTGGAGGCGGGGTCGGGACATGCGACGCGAGGTAAAGAACTACACAGTGCATTACAACAAGTACGTTTGACATCCCTGGGTTCTGTTTTTTGCGGTCTTTTTGAACCGGGTACAGTCGACGCACGTCCTGCTGTGGTGAATGTTACACGTGTATGAATGGGGGATGTCCTGCGTTACCGGTTGCTGGTTGCTTTGCCTGTGGAACCTTGTTTCTACTTTGGCGGTGAAGTTGACACTCCTGGGGTTCGGCTCGTATTGCTCAGGAGCGACAGTAGACGCTGTTGCGTTTTCGTCAATTTTATTCCCAACACTCTGGGAGGCATGAGGTTTGTGTAATCCACAATAACACCGCCCTGTCATTGAAGATTACTCCTTGAAAAACTCTTTTTTCAGTGGCTTTGAAAATTGAACACACTTCCTGCTCAAACTTTGTGGAGGTTCTCGGCTGCACCTGTGGTTGTTCGTTGGGCAAGTGTCGGTGGCACCCTTGACTTAATACCCCCTCATTTCATGCTTCTTCGGCTGTTTCATCCTCCAAGGTTGTACATATTTGTGAAGGGTGACAAACGAGCAGGGGCAGCCGAAATCTGGACAACAGAACGGCGACGTCATGCTGGAGGTAATCGAGAAGGGGTGGAACGACCAGGTAGAAGAGGCCGCCACCAAGAAGATGAAGGAAACCCGCAAAAAGCAGAGGGAGGCGCTGGAGAGGAAGGCGAAGCAAAAATCCCCAAATTAGCGGAAAGGGTCATGATACCGGCTATCCCCCAACGTGAGGACCTCGTCAACAAGGAGCTTCCCGAGAATTTCCTCCCTGCCCATTGGCTTACGTGGTTGTTTTACAGACCACTGGGCACCCACGCCGACGAGAACATATCGTTTATGTCCTCCAACGGCCCTGACCTTGAAGGATTAAGTGACGGAGACATCAGCGAAGACGATAACGACGGCGGCGGCGGCGAATTTGAAGACGAGGATGCGAGTGGATACGCATCTCCCGCGAGCTCCTTACAGGGAAACTCCAGCGGCGACACCGGCGAGGGCACTCTAAGAATGGCTTCAGCATCTAACGCGGGAAAATCGAATGGAAAAAAAAGGGCCAACAGCAGTGACGGGCCGTCTGGGGGAGGGAGATCGTCCGTCAAGAGTAAGAGAGCCATGAGGTGCTTGTCTAATGCCAACGAGGTCCTCGGTAGGAGGGCCACGAAGGAAAAGAATCGGGAAGAGGTAAAGAGAGCTCGGGGCAACCAGGAAGGGTTGCAGGAACAGCTCAGGCTTGCCCAAGAAAGCTCCGCCGTTCTGCTGCAGGTGACGGCAGCAGGTAGCAGGAATTGTCCGTACCATGGAGGAAAGCAGACCAGAGAAAGGAAAAACTTGCCAACCTGGAAACGTTGGAGAAGCTGTATCGCGATATGGGCAACGAGGCCAAGGCAAAAGAGTATCTTATGCAAAGGGTCGCTATACTCGAGTCNGCGCGCAACCATGCCAGGGCTAGAGGAGGTCCAGGATCGGCAGCTACGACGGGTGCAGCTGCAAAGTATTTTGCCTTACGCAGGGCTACGTCCAGCGGACCCGACGCTGCCGCTGCCGCTGCCGCCAACAATGCCGCCAACATTTTAGCGGTGGACAGTTCGGATAGTGACGCGGATGGTCGGGGCAATGACGAGTTTGTTATGGACATCGACGGTGAAGGATGTCACAAGGGAGCTTCCGTGGGCACTTCCGGCAGGGGCTGTGGGGGTGGCAGCGAGGGAGTGGGCGCTGCAGGCGGGCCGAAAAGGCCGCGGTGCAATAAACACCTCGTTCGTGCAAAATTATGGTCCCTCAAGTGAGTACAACCGTGGCGTTGTTGTGTGGCGATAATGGAGTACCTGCGTGGAGGTTTGTGGCGCTCATCAGGCGACGTGTTGGTCGTTCGTCCCAGAGTCCGGCCTGATCAGTTTCGAAACTTCGTTTTGGGCATCTGGGTGTATCGCAAGCGCAAGAGCTCACCTGACCTCGCCACGTGTTCCTCGCCCCCGCCCTCCCGAAATACCGCCACCTCAGGGCAAGAGATAGTGGAAGTGCGGCGAGGACCTCCACAATATGTGCGACCACTTCGAGTCTGTGGGCGGCGTGACGGTGGAGGACGAATCCGGCGAGACTTTGGGTACCGCTGGTGCCGCCGCGAACGGTGTTGGCGTTGTTTCCGTGAGCGCTGCAGGCGGCGGCATGGGGATGCGGGACGGAACCGCCGCAGGGATGCGTCTGCTGCCGCGGGTGCTTCTCGTGCCGTCACAAACGGTGCTGGCGGAGTTGCTTCCGTGGGCGCTGCAGGCGGCGGCATGGGTATGAGGGACGGAACCATGGCCGTTGGGGGTGTTGCTGCCGGCGGCGACATGGGGGGGGCTCACGAAGCCTCTGCCGCAGGGGGTGCGTCTGCTGCCGCGGGTGCTTCTCGTGCCGTCACGAACGGTGCTGGCGGAGTTGCTTCCGTGGGCGCTGCAGGCGGCGGCATGGGTATGGGGGACGGAACCATGGCCGTTGGGGGTGTTGCTGCCGCCGCGGGTGCGCATCGAGCAAACACAAGAGCTCTTGCTTGGGAAGCCATCACCAACGAATTCCCCAACGGTGGCCAGGTGGCGGTTGCAGCTGCAGCGTACATGGCAGCTATCGCAGCCCAATAACCAGCCAACTGACTCTAGGTTGACAGCAACACTTACGTGGAGCACATTTGTGCGAGTTGTGCACGACGTGCTTCCTCGGGCGGTGGTTTTGTCGAAGGAAAGAAAAATGTTGCGGCTATATTCGTGTACTTATGTTGAGCCGCGGTGATCGTCAATGGCTTCACTTGAAACGCCTGCTGTGCGAAGTGTTCAAGTACGTGTTAGGAGGTCGAGCGAGAAGGAAAACATATAGAATCTCTCTCTCTTTTTTTTTTTTGGCAATGGCAAGGGGATGGCTTCCACCGCACAGAATTACCGGTGGTCCAAATGACCTGAATACTCCTACCTCTCTGCATGGAGTACTATTCAACGGTAACGTTTTCTCCAACGTTGGACACTTTTGTTTTCGACCGAAATGTCGCGCAAAGCTGTTAGGATTTCAGAGATGGGTAACCACCTCCTGCCTATGTAGTCTCTGCGGGAGAGGGTTCCCCCTATTTTCTGGTGAGGAATGTCGAGGATTCAGTGCTTCCGACTCGTGTCGGTACATTGCTTGCCAGTAGGTTAATGGTTTGTTGTGGGAAGCTTGTTGGTGATTGATGCACTTGTTATTGTGCACAGTATTGTTAATGAACCGGCGTTTACCGGCTGGTGGTGAGTAACGTCAACATTTACGCAGTTGGGTACTTCTGCCGTACGTATTCCAAAGGAAGGTTGATCCCATGTCGATGTTTCCTGAGATAATTCTTGGGGTTTATTACCGGCTGGAGATGCATTGTGCAGCGGAATTGATGTAACCGAAGAACACCATGAAATATAAATGAAATTCTGATTCGATCAGTAATGATATCGGCGTCGTGTTTTCCGTTTCGGTGTCGTCTTCCGTGATGAAACGCTGTTCAGTCATGGCACCAGGAGCTTGGCCTGGCCGCATTTATTCGGAGGCTTTTCGTCAGAATCAGTCCGATTCCGAATTACATGGGTGTCTTGGGGGACTAACAAGCAATCATGGGGAGAAGGTGTTTGGAAGGTGTGTTCTTGATAGCGTGGAAGGTTGGCGGTTTAGGTTAGGGTTAGGGTTAAGGATTTGATGCGAGTAAAATCTTGACGTAGTTCCGTGTGGAACGGCCGAGAATTCTCGCGAACGTGTCTTGACTTGGGGGGTGCCAGCTTGCCAAGTGTGGTACTGGGCACAACGAACAATTGGTGGGTCCTTGGGGGCCAAGTGAGTGCTTTGGAGGTAATTTACCGTGTGCCATGATGCAGTTCCTCTCGCGAGAATGCCGGGCCTTCAAACCTTTAATAGTTTTATTTTGTGAAAAGAGTGGCCCGTATGGGGGTACGCTTCTTGTTTTGCAAAAAAAAAGCTGTTTAGAGGGATCGTGTGTGGATGTATGTATGTGCGCACGAGAAAAATAACAATACATTTTTTTTTGCGAAAAGAGTGGCCCGTTAGGGGTACGCTTTTTGTTTTGNATTTACCGTGTGCCATGATGCAGTTCCTCTCGCGAGAATGCCGGGCCTTCAAACCTTTAATAGTTTTATTTTGTGAAAAGAGTGGCCCGTATGGGGGTACGCTTCTTGTTTTGCAAAAAAAAAGCTGTTTAGAGGGATCGTGTGTGGATGTATGTATGTGCGCACGAGAAAAATAACAATACATTTTTTTTTGCGAAAAGAGTGGCCCGTTAGGGGTACGCTTTTTGTTTTGCAAAAAAAAAGCTGTTTAGAGGGATCGTGTGTGGATGTATGTATGTGCGCACGAGAAAAATAACAATACATTTTTTTTTGCGAAAAGAGTGGCCCGTTAGGGGTACGCTTTTTGTTTTGCAAAAAAAAAGCTGTTTAGAGGGATTGTGTGTGGATGTATGTGCGCATGAGAAAAATAATAATTTTCATGCCCAGGGGCGTGAAAAAGACGCGATGGCTGTCTGTCTGTCTGTCTGTCTGGTGTCTGCGCGCCCCAAATAACCCAGCAGACTCGAGCCCATTTCACCATCTCGGCACCAAATTGCAAACTAAAACTTGCGCACAACAAGTAACATTTTGCCCGAGCTGTCCCAACCGCTACCTTTGCAATCCGTG